AATTTCATATCAGATTTGATAATTGATACTTTCTATAATAGATAGAATACCAATTCATACATCAAACAGATTAAATAACTACAACTAAAACTACAATTTATAGTTTATACATATTTTACAAGTCAAAATTGCTGTTACCCTGTAATAAAGTTAGTTTTTTAAAACAATTATGAAAAACAAAAATTTGCTTTAATTCCATAAAACCTCAAACATACTTATATTAAAAAATTTWAAAAATCATATTGCGATTAAAAATATATGAAATATATTACATGTTATAAATAAGTATCGAGTATCCAACTTTGGAAAATAAACAATCCCAGTCCTAATATTAATATTCCGGCACACCGGCCGTCGATGAATCCTCGACTTTGCACTCGTTCGTGCCCCGCCGGATTTTGAAATATCCTCCGTCTCCCCAAGTACTGTTCCAGGAATTCATCATCAGCCAATATGGCACATTTCGTTCGACTCCCCATCCGATGCACTTAACAGAATGGCCACCCAAATATGTGGCGTTGGGCGTTTTGGAGTAAACACCTGAAACCAGTTGACGAATATTATTATTATACAATGTAGTAAAACGTTAACTGCTATATTATGACTCAATATCTTAGGTACAATAAATTTTAAAATTTTATTRAATCACCAGATTTATTTTAATTTTTTTTTCATAAATTTGGATGCAAAATTATTCATTTAATCAAAAACCTTAAAACAAAAAATAAGTTCCTCATAAGTTTTTTTACAGAAATTCAAAAATATTCATGACGATCAATTAAATTTTTTCTATAAGCTTTTGAAACACAAATTTTGAAAAAAATCATCTAAATCATGAAAATTTGCAAGTAATTTTGTTGTTTAAATGTATAATGTTATGAGTGAATCGAGGAATGTATTGATTTTACCATGATGTGTGTTTCTATTTATTTATTTTTTTTTTTTGTGTCTGTCATCACGGTTTGAGGCAGTAAAAGTGCTTCGATTTTTGACTTTAGTACCGCGTTCGATCAGAAAGTGAATCTAGTTGGTACTTTGTGGGGTCAAAGTAATATTTTTCTATATAATCGAGATAAACAAACTTAAAATTAAGGGAAAAACGGGAAATTTTACATACAATCGACAAAATTGATTTTGGTTTTTGATGTAGGTAATTTTAAAACAAATTACCATAATACATATGTAATTTTCACCGAATGTTTATATAAGTATAAGTATATTCTATCCACCATGCAATTTTCAAAAAAATTCAACTTAAGTTGAACTATTTATAGGAATATGCGATTTTCGATTTTTTTATAAGCATTCAAAGTTTTAATTTTGACAGAATACGTAAATATCACAAAAAATCGCAAATTATTTTAAGCTAAAAATTAATAAAAAATTTTCTTGTTAAATTTAAGATTTGAAAATGTAATACAAGATTCCTTATAAAATTGTCAATCTTTATCACAAAAAAATGTCCACCAGAAATTCAAATTAAATTTTTATGAGTGTTTGAAATTTAAATTTGTACAACATTGGATTTTCACTAGATTTCTCATTTAGTGATTTCCATATTTTGGTGTAACTCTAAAACAAATGACCACAGATAATTGAAATTTTCATTGAATGTTCATATAGGCATTTTCTACATTTGATA